AAGTTGTGAATATTTAAACAAAACTTATAAATTATTTATTTTTAACAAGAGTAATTTAATAATTTATATAAATTTATTAATAATAAAAAAATTTAAAAGTTTTAAAAAAATTATGATATTTTAAGAGATTAAATTATTATTTATATATTTTAAAAAAATTTATTATCAGTTAAGTCATCTTATGTCATTGTTTTCTAACCCTCATAGGCAACTGTCCCCACACAAGCCCAAAGTGGACCGGAAAAAAGGAGATTTTGGGCCAAAAAGAAATGGAGATCAAGGATATTTTGGGAAAAAATGTGGAATCGATCTCCATTTCTTTTTTTTCCCAAAATCTCCTTTTTTCCGGTCCACTTTGGGCTTGTGTGGGCAGTGTATATATGTGTGTGTGTTTTGTATATATATGATCAATATTGGACAAAGCCTACAGAGGATATATGAAAGCAGAGATGGCACAACGTGTGGGGGAATGTATGTGGCTGTTAGTGGCGAAGATATTGAAGAAGGCGGTGGTGTTGGTGGACATGCTCTGCACTTGGTGTTCGCCGTCGCTGCCGGAGGGCGATAATGAGAATCAGCAGGCTATGAGCTGGTTAGTTGCTCCACCCCACAACAATGGCCGACGTTGGCCAACACCACTACTGGTCAGCTCTTTTATAATTCATGCTTTGTTTGTTTATTACAATATTCCCTTTCTTGGCTTAAATTTCGGCCATATTTTTTCCTGTTCATCAAACTCAAGCTTTTTTTATTTATTTGAAACTTTGCTAACTTCTTTTCTATATTTGATACTTTGCTCCCGCATTTTAGATCAGGTTGGATCAAATCGACGGGCTCGGTGAAAGGTCCACTCCACCCATTTTTGTCCCTTGCTCTTCACTGCCCCCTCTCACCCTCTCTTGAATTTTGGTGGAAAAAAAAATTAGGAGTGTAGATCGCGGTAATTCAGGCTAAATTTTTAAAAATACTAAATATAAAAAGAATAGGATTTTGGGGCTCAAGTCATAATAAACTAAAAAGTTCATTAAAACTTTAATTATCAGGATTAGTCTGACCCATTTTTATTTTTTAACCTCAATGTAAGACTCAAAAAAATATTGAGAAGATGGCATTTTTATTATCCACTGTGTGTGTATGTGTTTTTTTTTTAATTTCTCTGAGTTTTTTACTCTAAAGAGGGAAGGAATTTCTCCCTCCGGGTTTATTTTTGGGAATTTTAAACTGTAATTTTTTTATATAAAATGATACTTTAATTAAAAAAATGTACATGACAAGTTATGACCACAATAAATAACCTTATTTTTTGTCCTGTTCAGCAAACGGAGATAGCTTCTCACAACAACCGCCATGACCGCTGCTTGTATCTAGGAAGCCGACTCAACAACTTCAATTTTCCTAATGAAGCCTTTTCCCCCAACCTCGTATTCGCTCCCATGATTACAATTCTACTGGCCTTCCTTCAAATTCGAAGTTCAACCGCCAATACCTTGCCCTTCCAGCTTCACCCTGTCCTTTTTGTGGTTGCTGTCCTGTGTTCCATAGCATATTACTTCAGTTTTGCAGCCAAGTTCATGTTTCCTGGTTTTGCTTCTCTGTTTGAAGTGCTCATGTCCGCCTCTGGCTCTTTAGCCGTTGTAACACTTGCCCTGAGTGTTATCCAAAAACCACACAATTCAAATAAGCTAAGTGTGGTTAAGGAATTAATCCTAAAACCAACTTAGAAAACAAACCATTTAAATCACTAAGCAAATACACAATTGCAAATTAAACATTTAAAGCCTTTAAAAAATTTTATAGGTTCTACCTATAGCACGCGGAAGCAAGCTAGACAAAAGTGAAATAAAAAGATGCTGTCATGACAGCATTTAAATTGCTGTCATGACAGCCCTCCCGGGTCAACTTCTGGGAGGCGCCGTTTCGCCATCCGAACTCCGATAGAAGTGATTTTAAAGCTTACACGTCACATTCAAAGGGTACTATAAGTATACCAAATTTCAAAAAGATCCAACGGTCGGATTAAAAATTGGACATGTTATAAATTTGGTTACTTTTGCTGTCATGACAGCTAAACACTTCCGGACCAACTTTCGGAGTGCACCATTTCATCATCTGACCTCCGATCGGAGTGATTCTAAAGCCCACATGTCACTTTTAAAGAATACTATTAGCATACCAAATTTTGAAAAGATCCAACAGACGGATTAAATTTTATGTAGGTTACAACATCAACACTGTAGCTGTCATGACAGCATTAAAATGCTGTCATGACAGCACCTCCAGACCAAATTCCGGAGTACGTAGTTTCTCTGTCTGATTCTGATCAATGTGATTCCAAAGCCCACACGAAGATTATAAAAGGTTTTACTTATGACCCAAATTTTAGAGAAATCCAACGGTCGGATTAAGATTTGGACACCCGGATGCAAAAGTACAGCTTTTTGGTAAAAACCATTTTCAAAATTGTCCAAATCTCATCCTAATGGTCACAAACTTGTGGGAACACTTTGGACATGTCAAATAAGACTAAAAACACTTGATAGAACATTCAAATGATGGAAAAACCCCATATATCAAAATTTGACCACCCGAGTGCCATTTCCCAAAATGGACCCTAAACCCCCAAAATGCACAAATTATACAAGAGTGGTCACAAATCAATCCAAATACATGTATTTATATAAATACATATGCTAAACATTTTCACTTGGCTCAGAGCTCCTTGTGGGGCTCACGCACCCACTCTCTCTATCCAAGGTGTATGTTTGCCCATAGCACATCATTTGCAATGCAACCACTTTGCATTTGCTTATAAAATCACATATATATCAAAATAAATATCTACTTGTAATAGAAACTTGGTCTACTAAGTAAATCCATCAAAACCATACACCATAACCAAGTTTCCTAGCCACAAGTCTGCAAACAGACAAAAATTCATACACAAGCACACAATCCACACATATTCACACACACATACATAATCATATCCTACTGGCACCCTAATCTTAAATACATTACAATATATTTGCTCAAAAGAAAGGGTTTGCAGTTCTTTACAAATCACAAGCAAACCCCTAGCTTTGTTCCTTTCCCCGTCCACCACTGGATCCTTCGCCTGGACCTAGAATATTGAAAAGAAAGGGGTGAGACAACCACAGTCTCAGTAACAGTGAAATCTACATTGATTATTACAAAGTAAGCCATAATCAAATAAACGAATAATAAATTCAACATAGTATATAATTTAGCCATTTAAAATGCATGAATGCATGACCTAGGCCGGTATGGCCTTTCATGACCAACAGAATGCCTCCTGGCACTCTTTAACTCGCAGGTAAACCTTATACCTACTTGTACCTCCACAGGCACAAAACATAATCTAAGGCATGATCTAATCCACCGAACCGCCTATGCCCCTTCGACGTGAATCCTGAGCAGTCAAAGCTAACTCCCTCCCAGAGCCAGCCCGACTTACTCTCCATGTGAGGGCGACCTTGGCCTAGGCACTCAACCTCACACTTCATATGTCGGATTCCCTCCCCCACTGAGAGGTGTCGAACACTCAATACACTAACCACTTTAATACACTGAGCCCACAATACGTAAGACAATACTGAGTACTGACAGTGTGCCATAGAATATCAAAAATCCACACCTTCTCATTGGTGAACTCCCACCGAGATCATGCCTTTTACTCTTGTCTACCTTTCCTGAGTATTGACCGTTCAACACTCTAAAGTAGTATAATATTTATAAATCTCATTTCCATAAAAATATTGTTATTAAACAATTAGAAAACATATTTGCACTATAATCAAAGTAGTACCCCATAACCCCTTATAAAGCACATTTAATCTTTTAAAACATGTAATGCATGATAACTAGTAATATTTATTCAAAAATAGCTAAAACAAAGTAATAAAAATATAAATTTCCCTGTTACCTCAACCCTTTGGTACCAAAAGGGTTCTCCTTGTACAAAATAGGGCTCGGCTTGTTCCTTACTTCTCAATAAGTTCCACCAATAATTTTCTACAACATATAAGTGATCCACATCACTTATCATGACAAATAGCATTAATGAAGACTATAACTCATACCACACAACTTGGGTCTATGAGCCATAATCCATCTCAATGGTCCATATATTAAACCAACCATTCACATAGTATCACTTAACTACCAAAACTATTTATTAGCCATCATTAGGCTAATTTTTAATTTATATAATTTTTTAATTAATTAAAAACCTTTACTTAGTGCCACCAACTTTCACCATTAGCCCTTATAATGAAAACCAAACCTTAATTTAAATCTTATTGGGCTCAAATAGCAAAATTATAACTAAATCAATAGGCTTAAACCATTGAGGAGCAAAAATCCAATTTCTCAGGGTTTATTTTGTGCCCAAAACACCTCTTTTCATCTAATTATTCACTCAAAACATTAGATCACTATATAGAAACTCAACATGCTCCCTAGGATCCAAAGAAATAAAAGCTTACAAGAATAAAGCCTTTGGGATCAAAATTCAAAAATCTCCTCTTTCAAAAATTGAATAAAATCAAGAGAAAGGAAAGAGGATTGAAGTAGGGAGTTTACCTATCGTGTAGCCAAGCTCGCAACGGTCGCAAAGACTCCTAGATCCAAGCCTAACTCCCTCCCTTTCTCCTCTCTCTCTCTCTCTCTCTCTCTGCGTTTTGTTCTTCTTTCCTTTCTCTGCGTTTCTGCGTCTCTTTTTCCTTATAAAAGCTGATCTAAAAGTTTGGGGAAAATTACAAGAAATGGCCCAACATTTTTTATTATTGCACAAAAGCCCGGGTCAACTTTGGTAATTTTTTCCCATAGTTAAAAATCAAATAAAACTAAACTTTTGTTTAGAAAAATTCAAACTCTGGACCTCTATTAAATTATTCTAAATTTTAATTTAATTATAGATATTTTATTTTATTTTATTTTTATAAATCCGAGTCTTAAAATTTCGGGATGTTACAGCCGTTGCCTCTCTAACACCGTTAGTTCTACAGCTTCCATAGTGGTCCATTTTCTTTATCCTCCTATTTCTTGAAGGATTCTTGAAGCTACTCAACAAACTTCATGGCATATATGGCAATGTACGCCGACCACATCCAAGAACAGTACAGCCACTCCTCCCAAACAGTCAATCATTAGAGGATGAAGATGGATTCAGAAGATTATGTCTTACCTTAATTTAGGGTATTTGCGTATACCTTCTTATCTTCTGTCTTCTCTATTCAAATGTTGTCTAATGTTGTGTGTATGTATTTTCTTTCTTTCTTTGTTTTTTTATTGGGGGGTGTCTGCCATTTTATTGTTGAATTCCTCTTTATATGTTCATCAATGCTATAAAATGGGAATTCAAGCTCATCAAATTCTTCTCTTAATGGTTAAACAAGGGTCATCAGTCATAGTTCAAAAGCCTTTTGATCATGATACAGAATCTTCAGCACTCTAGCAAAATTTCTCAATCAGTATCAGATAGAGGATTATATTTTCTAGTTTTATGATTAAATCTATTGTCTGTAACTGTGAATACTAAAACATTATCTCATATAATAGAAGATATCATGCAGAATGACCACTTATTTATATATATAGAAACCCATTTATCTCCATATCAGCAACTTATAATAGGACTTTGACAATTATAGAATACTTACAGATATTAAGTTGGCAGATCTACTTCAAAGATGATGGTATCATTTAATCTTCTTCATTTCAGTGGAGGTTCTATCATTTCATTATTTATATTTATCAGTCTCTCAATATCTTTCACATAGGTATTGAGAGATTGAAAACAAAAGTTTGAATGCAAATCTAAGTTTGCTATACCTGTTTAGTTAACCAGCTAGCACATTTCTATTTAACGAGTGACATTTCTTTAATCAGTTTCTCTATATTATCATATATGACTATAACTAATCTAGCTTTCATTATGTGCATTTTGAAATATTGAGCCATTATTGAGTGGATGCTAGCTAGCTCTGTGTTTTACTTCTATTTTATTATAAATTGTTAACTTCTTTCTTTAACTTTATAGGATAGAGTTGATTTTATATCATCATGTATTGCAGGTTTTGAAGCTTCTGTGTCTAGGGAAAGCTAAGTGCAATGCTGACAAGTGCTTGAGGAGCTTGATGTGAGTAAATCTAGGTAACTGATATCAACAACCTTAGAGTTGATGTCATGCAGAGTACGTTTTCTAAGTTTGCAAAGATGTAACAAGTTTAATCTGCAAAGATCTACAATTTTTGCTGATTAGATAATTATGCTTTGGTAAGAAAGCAGTAGGTCATTTATGCATCCTTAGGAATTTATAGTGACCACTAAGTTTTCTCGGACTAAATTTTGTTCTTCCATATTGTTATTACTTCTCCCTTCATGGTGCATAATTTGCTAAACTTGTTATGCTTTTTTACTCCTACTTTTAAGGATTTTTTTTTCATTGATATGGAGGTCTTGTTGCTTTTCCGGTTTTATGTAAATGATGATAATTTTTTCACATGTAATTGTTTCACTTGTTTTTTTTAAATTAATTTTCAAACACATTTATTTCATTTGTCATGTGCAATGGTCTAACTTATTGGAATATAGCTTCATTTCCTTATGGTTATTGCTGGATGTTTAGTGATAATGCTTGGAGATAGGTTATTTATTTATTTATCTTCGGCTTATCTTAATTTTTTCCTTACAATCTAGATCAATATCTTTGGAGATTCTCTTGTGTTTGCCTTCAATTAAGAGCTTTACCAGAATGTAACTTCTTAATGTTAGAAATCCAAATCATATTGAAATGAATGGTGTTGTATTGTATGATGCCACTTGGCAATAACTGCTTTCATGGCCTTGTTACTGAATAAGTTATACATTGTCCTTTTTAAAGGCCATCTAGCCCTTTACAGTGTAATTTTTTGGCAGAGTTTTAATATTTATTGGGATTATAAATGCATATGGCAGACTTAATCAGATTCTTGTTCATAATATGGAAATCTCAATTAACTCTAGAATTTAGAATCATGATCCATTTCTAGTAGAAACAGATGAGCATTTCACAGGTCACTCAAATTATACTTAATGTGATATTCATGTTAGGTAGTCTTACTTTTTTCTAATTTTGATGGACCAGAATGTGAGCAGACGGCTATGTTATTACATTGTGCGGTTCATGTTTGTTGAAGTTCTTCATGATTCCAATTCCAAGGGGCCAGCAATCCATCCGCTCCTAATGATTTTTATGACAGGAAGACATTAGTGAACCTAGCAAGGAATGGCAGATCAGGGATTGGAAATTAATGTTGCTTTTGCTTCCTTCAGTTGAGATTCTAAATATAGAACCAACATGTTTGTTGACTTTATGTTATTAATCTTCATAATGTTTGCTCTTCTCAAGTGTATCTGAACATTTCTATGCTAAAGTGTCTTGCATTCCTTTCATTGAACCTTTGTTTTTTTTCCTCCACCACCTCATTTATTATTATTTTTTACAATCTGAACTAATATATATATATATATACACACACACACATGGAGATTTTCGTGTGTTTACCTTCAAAGTTCAAATGGGAACTCGACCAAACTGTAACTTCTTAATGTTGATGTCAGAACTTCAAATCATGTTGGAAATAATGATGTTTCATATATCATGCCACTTAACTATAATTACTTTCACGACCTTGTTGCTGAATAATTTATATTTTATCCTTTAAAAGTTTTTGAAATAATCTGAATATTTATTTGGATTTAAAATACTCATGGTAAGCAAGATTTATCAGATAGTTTTCATAATATAGAAATCTGAATTATTTTGAACTCTAGAATTCAAAATCATAGTCTAGTTCTAGTAGAAACTAAGGAGCATTTCATAGGTCAACCATATTATAGTCAATGTGATGTGACATTCATGTTGGCTGTCTTCTTTTTCTAGTTTCGTTGGACCAGAATGCAAACAGACTGCTATATTGTTACAAGTGCAAGGTTCTTTTTGGTGGCATGGCAAGTGCTAGCTTTGTTAATGAATCATGATGGCAAAGGCTCATAGAACTTTACACTATTCTGATTCTAAGGGCTTAGTAACTGGTCCTTTCCCTGATGATTTTTATGACAAGGAGGCATCAATGAACCAAGCAAGAAATTAATGTGCCTTTTGCTTCCTTCAGTTGAGATTCTGAATGCAACAAAGACATCTTTGTTAACTTTGTTATTAATCTTCATTGTTTGCTCTGTTCGGGTGTCTTCTGGATCTGATCAGTTCTCTGCTGCTGAGAATAATCTTGGGCTTTCTAAACCCAACTGCAAGTTAGAATTAACTTGCAGCTGATTTTCATTTTTAAAAGTAGGTTGTCAAAGGCTAGACATATGAAGCACAAATGGATCAATAATGGAGTTCTATCCATGGTTGACGCTTTGTACCAGGTGGCACTTTAAATTTCACCTATAGATACTGTACATTCATGTCCTGTGTAAGTGTTTGTTCCTCTTAGTGATTGTCAGTATTTTGCCAGGCAATAATCTACAACTTTGGGGAACTCGATTTCTATTCTGTCTTGAGTTAGAAGTGCCCTTGTTACCCAATGATTAATGAATAGGTTTTTCATGAAGCATGGACAGCAAACCCTGTTTGTTTCTCTTGACAATGCTGTAGCATAGAACCTGAGAGCAGAAAACCTAGAGAGGTGGTATCCAGGTCAAGAAACATATCTAATGACTACTAATGATTGTTAATCTTGAAGAAAAAAGGGACATAAAAATGGCAGCGCCTGGTAATGCACTATATTGTGGACTCCTCAGGTTTTGTAGGTAATATGGTCGAATTCCTGATTGAAGTTATATAATATACCTATTTTATTTTCTTTCTAGATACATTTGATCCGATATTTTATTTTCAAGCAAAAAAATTGCCTTATAAAAAAACAAAGAAAAAGGAAGATGTGTAATTTTGGGAAGTTTCATAGAAACTTCATATGACATCAAATGAAAATCCGAGACTCAAGCCCTTCTTTGATTTTACTGTAGTAATAGTAATAATAATAATATGTTTCACAGTATCATTAAAAAGAAATGGAGTAAAAAAAGTATGTGATAGATCAATCCAGTTGATAAAATCCAACCTCCTTTCTGCCTTGCAACAACTCATCAGCCCAAGAAAACAAAGCAAACTCTAGTGACATTGTTCTTGTTTCACAGTAGCTTCATGTATAGGTTGACTTTTGAAATCAAATAATACAAAGTCTTAAACAAACCATCATAGGAACGTGACAAAAAAGAAAAGAAAGAGAAAGAGAAATGGATAATGATATCATCAGTTTTTTCTTTTAATCCTCTTTTAGCGTATCGGACATTCAACTATTTTCAAGACATTTAACTTGCAAAATCATCAATAGGTAAAAATTGCAAAAATTGTTAAATATTCTGACATGTTTTTTTGGGGAAAAATTAATCTCCCAATCCTTATAGTTTCTTCTAGTTTCGAATCAGGTCCCTGAACTTTTTTTTTTCCTTTTTTTTTAGATCCTGTAAGTTTCTGTGGTTAGATCTGTTACTCCCTCATTTATAAAATTGTTAAACAGAGATTAACGATATTAAGAAATTTGTTAAAAAAGATGTGAGGTGGCAACTAGCAGGAAATCTTTTGATAGGAGGGACTTTAACCAAAAATCAAAGTGGGAAAAAGTAGCCACATTATCGGTCAAGAACTATGCTAATTTTTTCTGGGTAACGTGAATTTCTACTATTTTTCTTTTTTGTAACAAAGATTCTTTGAGGACATATTCTTTCTCTCTAGAAATTAATTCAGTTCAGTTGCTGCGTACTTGAGAAATCCACGCACTCAGCTAAGCACCCTCCTTCAATATTATAGATGCATCATTTTCATCTAGCAATGCTCATAACCTTCGATCAAAAACCCAACAAATTTATTTCTTCTCTTGTCTCTACAATAAGAACTATATCATTCACAAAAAGCATGCATTTAGGAATTTTCTCTTGAATATGTTCAGTCAAAACATCTAAGACTAGATCAAATAAATAAGGACTCAAAGATGATCATTGATGTAATCCAATCTTTGTAGGAAAATCTTTTGTTTCACCACTAAGCATTCGTATACTAGTTGTTGCTCCCTCATACATGTCTTGTATAGCTCGAATATAAGCAACCCAAACACCCTTCTTTTCCAATGCCTTCCAAAATACTTCTCTCAATATACAATCATAAGCTTTTTTTTTTAAATCAATAAAAATCATACGTAAATCTTTAAATTTACATCAATACCTTTTCATTAATTTCCTTAGTAGATAAATCATTTCTGTAGTCACTTTTCCTAGCATGAAGCTAAATTGATTCTCAGAAATACTAGTTTTCAATCTCAACCTATTCTCAATCATTTTTTCCATAATTTTATAGTATGACTCATAAGTTTAATCCATTTATATTCATCACAATTCTGAATATCTTCTTTATTTTTAGAAATAGAAACTAAGGTGCTTCTCCTCCAATCATCTGGCATTCTCTTGGGTTGGAAGATTTCATTAAATAACTTAGTTAACTATCACATTCCTTCTTCACCCAAACATTTTTACATTTCAATAGGGATGCAATTAGGTTCATTGGCTCTATCATTTGTCATTTTTTTAAGAGCTTCTCTCACTTTCCAAGCTTGTATTCTTCAAAAAAATGATAAATTTTGCTCTCTTTCAAGAGTTACTAAATCTTCCAAGTTAATTGATGAACCCTCATCATTTTTGAAAAGTTTAGAAAATTATGTCTCCTATCTGTCCTTAATATCATTATCTGTGACCAAAACATTTCCCTCTTCATCCTTTATACACCTTACTTGTTCTAAATCTTTTGATTTTCTTTCATTACTCTTAGCAATCTTATAAATTTTTCATTCTCCATCCTTTATCCCAAGACCATTATAAAACTCTTCAAATGCTTTAGAACTAGCTTCACTCATGACCTTCTTAATTTCCTTTTTAGTCATACGATACCTTTCCCAATTTTCATCATCATTGCACAAGTGGATGGCTTTGAAACGCTCCTTGTACTTATTGTTTCCTGTATGCTATCATTCCACCAACAAGATTCCTTATCTCTCAAACTAAAACCTCTTGATTCTCCCAAAACTTCTTTTGCAACCTTCCTTACCTTCACAGCCAAGTCTTCCCACCAAGTATTAGCTCTTCCTTGAGACTCCCAAATTCTTTCAGCCAAGAGATTTTTCTTGAAAAATTTCTCTCTTTTCATCTTTTAATTGCCACCACCTAATCCTTGGAGTTATTACTTGTCGATGTTTTTGGTTTTTACTCATAATACATACATCAAGGACAAGGACCTTATATTGTGTCATAACAACATCCTCAAGAATCACCTTACAATGTTTACAAAGGCTTCTATCCGCACTCCTTACGAAAAAGAAATCAATTTGTGGCCTTAAAGCTCCGCTTTTATAAGTGATGAGATGCTAATATCTCTTCTTGAAATAGGTATTAGCAATCTTAAAATCATACGCCAAACAGGTATTAGCAATTATATTATGAATATAATATAAGAAAATTAAACACTAAAAAATAGATAAGATATAAAATTTTAATTAAAAAAACTGTCTTTAAAATAAATAACTTCTCATATATTCACTTTTCCTTTTCTCTTATATGACCTTTTTTCTGTCGCCTTTGGACCTGTGTGGGAACAGTTGAATAAACTTATTTTCCCTAAGATTCACTTGTCCTTATCATTTTAAAATAAATTTACTTATTCCATTAAAAAAAATAACCTATGAGACTAAATTTTATCAATTTCCTATAATATTAAATAGTAATAGTTTCACAAGGGATGAATCATAATTAAAAAAAATTATAAAATACTTATCACAAAACAAATTATCTTCCATGCTGCAAAAGAGATATATAGATTTTATTGAATAAAAATAAAAACATGATTTTTATTCAATATTGTTGAGAAGTTCATATTTATGCATGTCCAAAGTCCACAGGAAAAGGTGATATAAGAGACAAATGAAAAGTGAATATATGAAAGGAGAAAACAATGGCCAACATTTTAGATGATACATGAAAGCAGAGATGGCACAACGTGTGGGGGAAGGTCTAAGGCTGTTAGTGGCGAAGATATTGAAGAAGGTGGTGATGTTTGATAAATCATAATTTTATTTGTTTTTATTTGTTTAATTTAAATTTTTAAATATTTAATTGAGGCTAATTGAGTTTAATTAGATATTATTTAATTTTATTAGTCAATCTTCAGTTTTGAGATTTTAAATAACTAAATTTATGATTTTAAAATATAAATAATCTATTTGATATTTTTACACAGTTTCTATTTTATTTTATTTTATTTGTGCAGATTTTTTAGGTTCAATTTAAAAGATATTGATAAATATTATTTTGGATAAGAAGAATATAGATATATTTAAAGATCAAGTTAAGAAT